GCTATCGCTTGCAGTGCGCCGCTTTGTCGCCACACGCAGCTCTGTCCAAGCACGTCTCAGAACTGCACGCTTAAAGTGATGAAAGATGTTTGGCCCAGAAGAGTGCCGCGATGTTGCGCGTGTAAAGAGCACGTGTCGAGTGTCAATGTGTACATGACGACTGTCCGGAGCTTTTTGCGTTCCGTCGTTCACAGTCATTCTCGTACAGAACAAACGTCGCATCGCTTTTCAGAGGCGTTGACTCAGGGGCAAGGGCGAAAGAGCTGATGATATTGTGTCGAGTACACGTCGAGCAGCCAGGAGAGCAGCCATACCCCATAGAGATTCTCGCTCGTCACTTTCGGGTCGAGGAATGAGATCGACAGCCCTATCGCCATGGCAGGATGAGCAAACCGTTGGAAAATTCTCAGGACCTCCAAGGCCAAAGTCTTGAAGAGCAGCTCGGCCTTTCCGGTACCTGTTGGGCTTGGACAGGAACGAGAAGCTGTGATCGATGACTTGTAGCTTCCGCTCACGATCCTAGCTTGGTTTTAGCCGGGCCGTGCCTTCCCTCACTCGTTTCTTGTACGTTGAATTATAGAAATCCTGCGCCGTTGTAGGCATCCGCACGCCAGCATGGTCGGCAACAGCTTTGATCCTCGCATCGACCTCAGTCGTATCTTGCTCCGACGCGATCAGATTGTCTCGGTGCTGGAACAATCCGTGTATACCAGTGAAGGAGCGTTCGGCTTTTGCATTCTTGCTCGTGCTCGTGTACCATTGTCGGAGCGTAGCAGGAGCATCAGCCAGTCCCAGAGCTTGTGCTTTTCGTCGCATCTCTGCTTTGATCTTTGATCTTTCCTCTGCATCCTGCTCGTTGCCCAGTAGACCGTACAGTTTGCGCATCGTATGAAATTTCAGCTCAGACGATTTGGGGATCGTATGAGTCGCAGCGGTGTGAGCGCTCCCGTTCAGAGCTGTATGCTCGGGATGTGCGGTCGCGCCCGGAGCATCTCGAGATGCCGTCGACGGTGTAGAATGGGTTGGCAGCTGAACGACAGCGTGGCGCAAAGGCGGTTGTTCTAGGCTCGCACTGATCCTTACCGATGCTCCTTCCGGACCCCGTGCCCAGGAGGGTGGATTGGGCGGGGCGCGAGCTTCTCTGATTCGAGCAGCAAGGGCGTCCGTCTCAGCGCGCCGTGTGGATTGAGTCTGGGACTTTCGCATCTGCCTCAGGTGCGTCTCGCTCAGTGGTGCCGCTGGCAGTCTTGCTGAACGAGCCTTCTTGGCAATGATAGCCTCGAGCAGCGCGGGGTGCTTCTCTCCTACTTCAGTCTCTCTTAGTCGGACTAAAGTGCGGAGCCTTTTCCCGTTGAACATCGACCGGTGGTATTTCTCGTCTTTCCGTTCGGCGTCGCTCACTAGAGCGACCTGTATGGTGGCAGGCATTTCAATGTCTGATGCTACTCGAGATTGAGGCAAGGGATGCATCCGTGCTTACTCACTCGAGATGCTGCGTCATTGGATACACGCGGCTCTGGAACATTGTCGAAATGACTGGGCGAGTGGAAATGCTCGCGTTGCGCAGTCAGAGGTTGTGGTGTGTGGGACATTTGCTCAAACGCGTGCGGCGTCTGGAGTAAAGGCATTCGTGTTGACGAGGTGACCAGAGCACCATGACTGTCATGTATGGGCTGGTCTGGAAGATGCAGATGCTGAGCCCGTGGTGACGGGTCAGCCAGCCAGGACGCGAGCAGCTCGGGGGAGAAATGCTGCTCGAGATCTTCGTCCAGCCAAAAATGGTCGATTTGCCCACTTTGAATGGTTGATTCGTGAGAATGAAATGGATGCAAAGCTCTTGCAGACGAAGTCGTGGAGTCGTGGTGAGCTGCAGAGCTGCCAAATGAATCAGTAGTCAAGTGATCTAAAGCTCGGGTTGGTAAGGCCCCGGAGACGTGATTCGGGAACCCAAATTGCAGAGGGGGACCTCGGCGATAAACTTGGGAAGGAGCCACTGCCAGAGCGAATGGCAGCATCGCAAGGAATAGCGTTGGCAAGACCATTCTTGGCATCCTGTAATGTGCTAGCATGCCGAGCGGTCCAAGGTCTCGAGGGTCTTTAGAAGCTTAATCGATTGGTCTCTTGATGCATGGGAATTGCTTCCTCCTCCACTATGAATCTTAACTTCTGCCACGCCAAGTAGACCGCAAATTTCCAATTCTGATCTCACCTTGGTGGTGATGCTCTTTTGGAGGCGTGCGAAAGAATGAGAAGTACCGTCAGTACATCAATAGATCCTTCGAGACGTCGAGTGTTTGGCAACCAGCAGCAATGCGAAAGAATTAGTACAGGACTGATAAGATCACATCGAACAATGTAACATGATGGAATGCGCGAGTACCCATTACCGTGAGTGGCAAGTCCAAGACAGCCCGGCTGATCAATTTTCGCTGACGGACACGAATCTGTTCCGGCCAAGCTTCACATTTGTGCATGACGCCGCAGATGTGGCGAAAGTCCAAGTACAGCAGGCATGCAGGCGTCCGCTCTTCGTCGCCGTTGAACGCCACTCCACGGATAGAGGTCGCCACATGCGCATACCGCATGGTGTGTATAGGGTCTCGTCAGTACCAAGTGAAACACCCAAGGGATTTCTTGATCATGTACGCCCCTCGAATACCTGGTGATGAAAATTCAGTAAGATTCTTGTCGATAACAAGGAAGTGATGGACGCATTCATTGATGATGATGGTCGTAAAGGAGGCGTATGTGCATGTGCGAAGACGGCCTTTATGAGCGCGCGCGTTCAACAGGAAGGCGCGCTGCGGGCTGTACTCGGGCGGAAGAGGCGCAGAGCGCCTCGCAGCCTATCGATGTCCAGCCACCAACATTACTCGTGTCGGCATTCTGATACTACCTGCGCAGGGTACGGCAAGGCAGCTTCCACAGCAGCCAGTAGGCGCCACTTGCTGCGGTCTCCACCTGCCGCCCGTGATTCGAGCTGTAGAAAGAAAGCGATGGAGTGGCAGAGTGCCTATTGCGCAGCACCCGAGGTCCTTCTGCTGCTACATACGTAGTCCAAACTACGGTCCTCCTGAGCGGCTAGAGCCACGTAGCAGGCTGAGTGTTTCGGCGGCGCTAGCCCTCCGAGCGGTGAGCTGCAGAGGGCCCCATACATGGATGTCTTGCCTTTTTCCGACAGCAGGCGCGGCCTGCCTACCCCGCAGCGGCGAGGGAGGTCGTCTTGAGCGTGCCGCTGCTGCCTTTGTCTGTTGTTCCATGCTAAAAGCGTGCTGTTCACATCGAGCCTTTCTACCGCCATCTTATCTCTACCTTTTGTGATAGCTAGAGCTCATCCCCTCGGAACGTATTGCTTTGTTCCCGTCTTCTTTCCCTTAGCCTTGGCCAACCTGAGCTTTCTGCGCCGCGAATAGAATTGCGCGACATTCTCCGGGTTTGCCACACCTTCTTCTCGCGCCCTTCGGTCGATCTCAGCTTGAACTTTACTGATATCTTTCTTGCTCGCTAGTCCTTGACTTTTCATTCTAAAGAGGGCAAGAATACTGGCCTCGGACAAGTCCTTGCCGGTCAGCGGAGGGAAATCCAACGAATTGGTGGTGAATTCCCATCTGCTCTTCGGGATGGGTATGCCGAGTTGCTTTGCTAATGCCGCGATCTGTGTATCAATCTGACTCGCGTCCTTGCCTTCATTCTCCAGCTTGCCCTTCTTCCTTAGCAAGCTGCTCATAGTGGTGCCCGTTCTTTTGGGCGAGGACCATTTCATTGACGAAAAGGCGGAGGTCCCAGCTTTCTGGGGGTCGGATGTTGCTGCTGCAGGTTCTGGCCGCTGCACTGGCGTCCCGTGGGCATCTTGTGCCAGTGCGGCTTGCATTTTCTGAGCCCTCGCCCAGGATCTCATCTGTCGCAGCTGCCAGCCATTTTGAGGCACTTCCGGCAAGCCTTCCGCCTTGGCTTTGGCAAAGATGGCCGAGTGAAGCGCTGCTGAATGCTTTCCGTGAGCGGAAAGCTTTATCTGATCGAGCAGCGTCTGAAGATTTTGCTCGTCGTATGTACTAGGGTCGACGTAATTGAGTTTCCGTTTCTGCCGTTTCTTTGTCGTGGGATTGAGAGATGCATCTCCCTCTTCCCCTAAGCTTCCTGTATGTCCAGAGGCACCGGGCGAAGTGGCAGCTGATTGCTCCGCTCGCGTTTGCTCAGGAGTCAATGGTCGGCGCTCAGCGGAACGAGTCTCGGACACCGCTAAAAGGTTGTTCTCTTGCGCCTGCTTCGAAGCCAGGCTAGTGGACGAGGTTGCAGGACTTGAAGCTCCACGCGTTGGTGAAGGCGTCCTCAGCCAAGAATGCACGAGTTCTTCTGGGAAGTGGCTGTGAAGATCCTCGTCTAGCCAGGCGAGAGATTCGTGGTCTTCCCCAGAAGGTTTCGTGTGTTGGACATGGTCGTGATTGCTGGTGCGAGCATCAGACAGATGCGAATTCGAGAGATATCCTGCTGAGTGACGTCGCGGCGAAGCCACTGGAGAAGGAAGCTTCCATGCGTCAAGCTCGTGAGGAGCAAAGTCATGATCGAGATCGATCCGAGAATAACCTGAATGACCGGACGAGACGGGACTGTGAGGGCTGCCCGCAGCCACTCCCAGGCGTTTCGCTGATAGGCCCAAGCGCTCGCTGGTGGTCGCCGCTGGTTGCAATTCGCGCAAGCCTGCACGCAAAGATGAGAAGCCTCGTCCGAAAGGTAGTGCAGCGCGTGTAGCGGACGGCACAAGGAGGAGCAGCAGTGCAGAGCAACGCAGCGCCCCGCCGGGTCCTGGTAGCATATCGAATGAAACTTGCGTTTGAAGAGTAAAGAAAAGAAAAGAAAAGAAAAGAAAAGAAAAGAAAAGAAAAGAAAAGAAAAGAAAAGAAAAAAGTA